TATTTCGTGATATTGCTGTTGAATTGAGTTTTATGTGGTTTAAATGCGAGAGACATGATATTAAGCGTTAAAAACGGTCCTTGGGGCGTAATATAAAATCTGAAAGATATCGTATATTTTTAAACTATAAATTAGCAACTGAAAATTAAACAGCAGCAATTTAAAATTCGCCGGCGAAGTACATTTGCCAAGAATTCGAATTCGCCAAAGAAATGGGAAACGAATCAAGCATGCTTAATTTTAGCATCTGATGAATTGCTATCGCTTAGATTGTAAATCTCCATAAAGAGTAATTTTGATATGCTTTTCAGCAAACCAAACCAACGGCCTTAGCAAAATATTAATTTAATTATAATAATGATTTTATAATTTTAATATTATATCTAATGCTATCCTTTTAATTATAACTTAAGGTTTTCATTAACAGTAAATACATAATGAAAAACAAACTCATCAGCTTCTTTACAAATGAAGATAAAAAATAAATGGAATGTTTTTTCCGTCACTGTTTCAACAAAAACATAAAATTTTCTGAACTTAAATTATTCGTCTCAGTAGCGCCAGTTATTAGAACTCTATTCATGGCAGGAACATTATTTTTTTATCTTTTTCAAGGAATAAATTTACTCTGAAATCAAAGACATCAAAAACCTTTATTCAGAGAATGTATTTAATGAGGAGACGCAAAGAATAAGTCGAACCTTTTATATATAAACACTAGTTTTTCTTTTCTGTTATAATACCGCGCCTTTGATGTTTGCAATTGCAGTTTATTGATCAGCCCGACCATTGAATTTATTTCTTAGTGTTTCCGACATTAAAGAAGCTTGACAAAAATTTCTTCAATACTAAATACTCTATTCAAATTTTCTCCGCAAATCCAATTTTCCTTATTATAACTATACGCTTTTTCGTTTATTTATAGGTGAAGAACATTTAATAATGCCTGAAAATTTAAGCATAGAATAGAAATGCGTCTTCAAAATATTTTTCAAAAATATTTATATGAACTGTATTCATCATTTGGGTAGGGAATATCATAAAAGCATTCTTTATAAAATGAAAGAAAGTTATCATTGTAACTAATTTTTAAATTTCACATATTTTCTATATTGCGTATTATTTTTATCATAAAATTGAATTCAGAATTTTGTTGTAATAGTTATAGAGCTTATGGTATTAATATAATAGTATTTCCTGTTTTTACTCTGTATAATTTCTTTTAGTCAATGGCTCACTATGTAAATTTGAAATCTGTGGTGGTTTTATATTTTTATTTTATTTGAATTCATTTTCCGTTGGTCAGTTTGTGAGGTATTATCTCTCTCGTCAGCACGTATATTGCGAGGGGGGAAGGGGGATAGTTTTATAACTTGCGTTTTTCATGCCTCGAAAGCGCGATTTAGGACATGTATTAGGTTTATATATAGCGTTGTTCTAATACAGGTTTTTTGATAGAAAATCGTCGGACATTCTCTAAAATGACAGCCAATGTTTTTCCATATTTCGATTCTAGCAAGCACCAAAATCTTTAGTTGATTAAATAAACCATGGTTTATCTGATCTTTTGTTTGATTTATTTAAAATTTTTTGAAGAATTTTAAAATTTATTAGTTTTGAATTTCATTTCTTTTGGGAGTTTGTGGGTTTGGCTTTAAATTTTTTACTTTTCATCTATAACTGTTTAAATTTCAGCAGCAAATTGCGCAGAAATAAGATTGGGATAATTTTGTTTCAAAACAATAAATTTTGATAATGTACATATATATCTATCTATCTATGTATATATATGCAGTGCCAAAGGTCGAATGCCAGATGGCGCTGGGTTGCACTTGGTGAAATTCGCTCTGATGTGTTTGTTTGAAGTTGACCTTAAAAAGTGTAGAATGAACGACCATGATGTTTCAAAAGAAGGAAGTAATATTATATTTTCTGTAAAGAAGTGAACTGAGTTTATTGTGTTATATAATTGTGAAAATGTGTATATGTCATAATGCAATAAGCGTGTTGTCCGAGATAAAGAAACTCTGTAGATGTACATTTATAATATATAGATATGCATACACACATGTATATATTTGCATAAACTCTCTCTCTCTCTCTCTCTCTATATATATATATGCACTGGTTATACAACAATATACGTATATCTATAAATAAGCGTACATACATAAATGTAAGTATTTTAAAAATAAGAGAAATGAAAATTTCATACCCCTGGCATCTTCTAATGTGTTAGATCTAGTAATAATTTTCATTACATAATACTGTTTATTCTTTCTTTGTAGAATAGCTTCTACAATACAGAATCATCTTTTTTATGAAACCGTCTTATTTTCGTCTCATAATTGGTATAAAGCACATATAGATCTCACATAATATATATATATATGCATAATGAGAGAGAAAGATAGCTAGTAGCATATAACTTATAACTCCATGCATTATTTCCAAGCTGTAACTAGTTAGAACAAAACATTTCCGCTTATATTCAAGAAACTAGTTCTACTTTAAAATGTGAAATGAAATGATTTCAGATCAGCATTAACTTGATTGTTACTTCGCGTGAGCAAATGATTTTTTTTCTGGGAAGCTCTTTGAATAAAAACATTCTGCTGCATAACAATCTCATACAAATTTTTAAAAACTATTTAAAGAAATGTTGGCAGAAAGGCTTAAAATCTTATGGTGTTTTTTCTGGAATTATTAAAATGCAGTAATTTATTTATCATTATAAATTTATCTTGTTTGAAAAATGTTTGCCTTAAACTGTACAGGTATATGTGCAAACAAATTATTCTCTTAGGATTTCTTATAAGTGTGTTCCTGATTTTATTTACTTGTTAATATGTATTTATTAGGTTTATTCTGTCTATAGCAGTACAAATACTGTTATGATATACAAACCAAATAAATAAATAAATAAAAAGAAAAACAAATTCTGAAAGATTTCAGATTTTACATTACGCCCAAAGAGACTTATTTTAACTTTTTGTGTGTTACCTTTATTTATTAAATATCATATTCTTTGTATTTAAACCATAAAATTCAATTCAACAGCAATACTTTAAAATAATTTTAAAATGAGCATATCTTTAGGATTTCCGATACACATTTTCGCACTCTGGAGATGAAAATATTTTCTTTTCCGTACACCATTGCCATTGCTCGCTTTGAAATCTTTGAGTTTCTTAGTCAAAAATTAGTTAAAGTGTTACAAAATATGAAATCGGTAATGAAACAAATTCCAAATTAGGGCTCCCAGAAGCCCATATTCTGTGGAGGATTACGATATTCAAATTTGGATGGCTTTAGGTACCATTGTTTTATCACAATGCGAGATACATACAATTAAGCAGATTCTTCATTAGTTAATTTCTTTAAATATAACACAGGGCGATAATATTTGGTGGCGACAATTTGAAAAGTGATTTGCCGTTTATAGGGGAATCGACGCAAAATGCCAAAACAAAATTAATAGCCCTTCTGGGCTGATTCCCGTTGGGCTAATAAAATAAATACTTGATCATTCTTGACTCAAAAAATTCTTCGCTTTCGAAGTTGACTTATTATCATTCTTTAACTTGCTACAATGAAATAATGTTATCAATATATCGTTGATAAGGTACTGTAAATGCTCCTTTTGAAGTTCTTCCCTCTTCTAGAGCTCACCAAATGAGTAGCCCACAATAACATTTTCTCAAAATTTATTTCATTTCTTTATTTTGATTCATAACTCTGTTTTCATATTTTGAATGCAAATCTATACCATTTATTGTAAATGAAAACAGAAAAAATAACTGATCATTTACAAGTAAATGCCATGTCATAATCAAAGAAAAAGACAGCCATAAAATGTCGTGATAAGACCGGGAGAAGATGGAACAATGCATTTTCAGAAAATCGACATGTAAAGCATCGCAATTAAAAGCGAAGCAGCTGTGTAGAATTTCTTTGTTGCTGTTTTCTCTGCAGTGATATATAGTTTATAATAACATTGAGGGATTTCGTCCTAGCTTTCTTTTCTGTCACTAAGGTTATACGGTGATTAATTCCTCTTCGATAGTTTTCTTCCTCTATTTTCCCGTTCGTGAAATTTCTGCTATGCAGCTTTTGATATGAAAATTTTTCCTCTCTCTAACTTCGTCGCACACTTAACTGAAAAAATTCCGATAATGCGTTGTTGCACACGAAAGCACTCAAATTCATATCAGAATGTGCAGAATAGTTAGTTAAAAATCGAAATCTTATAAGGTATTTTCTCCATCCTTTCTGCGTGCATTCGTGATGTAACGGTAGCACACTCAGCGCGTATTTCGAAAGCTCCAGTTTCAAGTCCCGGCGAAAGCACTACAGATTTCATTTCTTTGATTTCCTTGATTCGAAAAATTCTAAAAATGACTCTACAGCGGCCCTCGAACTAAAACGTGGGGGATGATGATTTTTCATCACCAGGTTTTGGCCACTAGATCCCCTAACACCCAGCCGCCTTAATATAAAAGGGAGTGTATATAAGGCTCGTTGCAATATTCCTCTCCACGGTAAATCTTTAGCTGCATGCCTTCGTGGTGTAACGGTAACATACTCGAAAAGTATTCGAGAGGTCCAGGTAGGAGTCCCGGCGACGGTATTGCTAATTTTTCATGTCTTCTCCTTCAAAATAACCTGATGTTTCTACAGTGCCGCCCGAACTAAAAGGTGGTGGATGATGATTCGTCCCCATCAGGATTTGGCGATTGGGTCCCCTAATCCCCAGTCGTTCTTTAAAAGAGGAAGAATATAAGGTTATGAGACTGATGAGCCTTTCTGTCCCTTTATGCATGCCTCTGTGGTATAAAGGTAGCACACTCGGCGAGTATTCGAGAGGTTCAAGTTCAAGTCCAGGCGAGAGCATTGCTCATTTTCCACAGCTTCCTGCTTCAAAAATAACCTCATGACTGTGCAAACTGATGTCATTATCCATTTCACATTATTAAAAGTTTCGTTTAATTAAATCTTACCTGTAGTTCCCGGAGATCCAATACTTAAACCATCTTCTCGAAGCCAGAGCATAACTTTGATATACGGTCTAACCGCTGGAGGACTGTGGCAATGTAGTACCGCTGTGCTTCCTCTAGTTACGAAATGATCTGGTACGTGAACTTCGTACGTTTGATGAATAACTAGAATAAAGAAAAGAAATTAAATGCTATAGGCATTCAGAAAACATAGACGAGATGGCGAAAGTTAGGTTAGCAGATAAGTTGGGCTTATGAGATTCTACACTTTAACAATAAAATTTAGACTTGCATTAAAAGATATAAATTGATATGAAACTGTTCTATTTTAAGGCCTAATAAATGGAGTGAAACTAATCGCTCTAAAACAGCGGTTCTCAACCTTTTGACTAACGCGAACCATCTAAACAAAAACTGAAAAACTTTACTACCACCACTAGATTTTACAGTGATTATTTTTAATTTCTCAACTGAAATATTAAAAAATATATATTTGGGCATTTGCACAGCCTGCTGGCTGTTTGTATTAAATATGCACACATAAAAATGTTAGATTAAAAAATTGGTTACTATTTTAATTATCAAAATTTAAGTCATAAAATTTTAATTCTAAAATGTATTGTGAATTTGGGCCTGATTAAGAGAGATCAATTTCGTTATGTCTGGTCGTTTCAGTTAGCTTTAAACGTAAATTGGGATCCACCTTTAATTTTGTTCTGTATTTTTTCTGTAAATAGTGTTATTTTTGAAATCTTCAGTTAGAGTTTGATCACAGAAAATTTCTATTAATTATTCTTTTTCTTCACGAGATTTTTGAATTTAGTAGTTAAAAATACTTTGCTTCTTTACCACTTATTTTTCTCTTGCGCACCACCAGTGGTACGCCTACCATCGGTTGAAAATCGCTGCACTAAAATATAGGAATCCACTTCTTTTACTGTTTTGAATTCAGATTGATATCTCTACTTTGGTTAAATAAAACCTCTCGGGTTTCTTGAAATGTTGCATATTATGACCTGGAATGAAGCTGCAATGGTTTACATGTTTAGTCCAAATTTTAATATAGTGTTTTTAATTAAATGCTGAAACAATTTCTTACGGATTTTTTTGTATATATCCTTGATTATGAATTAACAAATCATCATCTCTGAAGTTGATTTTTGTATAATCCGACATCAACAGATAATTTTTCAAACAGAATCTTCTCAAAGTCTCTAACACATTCATTACTCTTTTCAGTTCATCTCTATTTTGTTCATGTTGTAATTTTCTCAATATATGAATCGGTTATTCACAAAAGTGGATAAACTTAATGATCTGGATCTGTTAATTATGACGGATTTTCACAGAGTAATTAAGATGAATTGAATATAATCAAACATTATCTATAGACTAGGAGACATTGAAAATAAGTTATGTCTCGCATTCTGTTGCTGGAATAGAAAGATAGATTCTCCTAAGCTCAGATGAATTGATCTCCTTTATTTTCCATCAGAAGATCCTCCATGACTTGAAGTTTGTGTAAATATATTAAGAAAGCTTTGCAGATTATAAGGGTTTAATTAAATGCTTATAAGAAAGCAGTTATTTAGTTAATGTAATATATATTTTGATTATTTGTGAAAAAATTAAAATCGTTGAAAGCATCCAATTTACTTTGAGTATTGAAACTGTTAGATTGTTCTTCGAAATTTTTTAAAAAATCTATCATTCCCTTCCACTCCTCGATTTTATTTTCAGTAACGTATTAAAAACGCTATGAGAGTTTAAAAAATTTAGTTTTTACTCTGTGATGAATTAAATAAAAATATGTAATATAAAAAGTTTCTTACATATTTTATTGCGTTTAATTTTGAATATTTACTTTTCTGTGTCGCCTTGTTCGGTAGAACGTTCAGTGCCGCTGACTGTATAGCGTTGCGCTCAGAATCGAACACCAAGTCACAGAATTTTCCTAGCGGCATAGGGGCACCTTCAAATACTGGACAGCCGAAAATTCTCTCGAGAAGTTTCTGAGAAGGAAAGAGGAATCTCAGATCCATCCATCGGCACTTGCTCCCTAAAAGCCGGGACTGAACTTTTCTGCTTTTGCGTGTATAAAATCGGTCACCCCTCTTCACACTTTGGACAGCATACTCTAAAGATGAGACCGCTAAATGATCGATGGATATTGGCCAGTTCCAAGGAATGCATTGCGTGTAAAGTGTTCGACCGTTTGAAACAACAATAACCACTTTTATATCTATGTTAAAAACTAAATTGCATTATTTCTCAATTTTAAGAGTCAAATTACTGGAAGAAGAAATATTCTTTTTAACTAATTTCTAGGTTGCCATTTGGACTGTGATAAGTGCAAATCATTCATCTTTTAAGAGCTGAGAATATGTTTCTGTTACACCAGAATTATTGTTCGACCTATCGGTAACAAGGAACAGATTGTTCTCAAGCTGATTCCAAGCACTGTGGGATTTGAAGCAATGAGGGAAGCTGCAGATGAACTTGCTAAAAAAAATCTTATATTACACCAAATCAAACACCTTCTGTCTACGGAAAGCTATAAAATAATCTTCGGCTCTAAGCTCATGCCAAGGCATTTTCGTAATCAGAATATTGGAAAGAGTTGGGAAATTCTTGTAAAGAGCAAAAGTTACAATTCTTACTGATATGCCTGGAAAGTTCGATTTGGCCTGTTTTGATTGTCTTACAAGCATGATTATGTTAAAAAGCTTTTGAATAAAATTAGATTTACGAATATTACAAAATGCCCACTATGCCAGGGTGCTCGAAAAGATAAGGTAACTGATGTAGATTATAATAAATAACTCAAACTTTGTTAAAATGCAATTCAGAAGAAAATTATATTAACACTGTCTCTTCTAGTTTTCGATAAAAATTATCTTTCACAATTACCATTACTACTCAATAATATCAAATTTTCAACATTTAGATACAAGTTAAATGAAAAGAAGCACGAAAATAAATCGCAAATTTGTACATAATCATAATATTTTATTATTAATACCGACAGATACAGATCAATACCGATTCTGCAGACAAGGTATATATGATATGAATTAGGTACATCTTTAAATAATAGTATTAAAGAAATAAATGTTAGCAAAATATATTGATATATTGCCAATGAAAAACGCTAAAAATTGTTGCCTTCTACGGGTTCGTGGATTTGGAGTAATTGATGACAACTATTGATGAAGAATCAATCCACAATTCATTCGCCAGTAAGCACTATTACATAGGACAGTTCCAAAGACACATTCACACTCGTCGAAAAACTACGACAAACACGCTAAAACAATCAGCAGCACAGGCAGGGCATATATAGCTTTAACCTACTTTCCAGCAAATTCACGAGAAAACCGCTAAGAATGTGTTCTAGAATGTTTTTCGCATAGCGCCAATTTTGTCGCCATATGTCGCCAAATGAGCATTTAGCGCCAAATCTCGCAACCCTGCCTTTCTCTGCTACTTTCTAGCAACCATAACCTCGCTTTGCGAGGAGGCTATCGTACAAGAGCTCGGCATTTCTCAAAAATATTATTAAAAGATTTCTATACTGTTTTGGTTATGTAGCAATTTGACTTTAAGGTTAATTTTAACTATCGATCATTCCATGACACGAAGGGCGAGTAATTGGGCATGTGAGCTGGTTGCAGACGCCGGTGGAAAGATAGAGTGTTGATAAACGATCTTTTCATTTCCTGGAAAGAGAAAAAGCGGCTTCTTTTACTTCAATAAATAAAGCGTTTTAGAGCCGGAGAGTGCTGGTTTAAGAGGAAAACACGACAGTGATGAAGATTTCCAGTTTCGCAGAAATGCACGGAAAGACTGAGAGATAAGAACACCCATCCAATGGTGATGTGAAATGTTATAGTTTCACAGACTTTTAAGAATCGACCGAAAGATAAAAGTTCCTGTCCGTTGGTGATAAAGTGTTCCAGTTTTACAGACATTTACGAAATGACTTAGTTATAAAGGTTCCTGTCCGACAATGATGAAGCGATTCAAATTACTGATATTGGAATGTAATCTATCTAGAATTCTGCTTTTAATAGAGAGGTGACAGGCAACATCCAGTTCCTACCCACAACATCTGATTTCGAGAGTAATTTCGGAGTGTGACGAAGTGGGCAATGTTCCTATCTACGGCATCATATACAAAGACTGTTCAAGACTCATACCTAGCGTATTGGAGAGAATGATTATTGATTTCCCGCAATCCGGAGTCGGCCCATGTAAGTACTCTTTCCGTTCCCCTAGCGGCTAGAGATGATTATATATATTAACAATAACTAAATATTAATATGCTAATATTTATTAAGGAGTACTGTTCTAAGATTAGAATAAAGTCATTATTTATAAGTTCGTTGAGAAATATGCTTATTAACAACAGAACTTAGAAAAATTTTTAAATTTAAAAAATGCACGTGCATGTGCTTGTCTGCCATATTACATCCCAAAGAATATTAAACTGTTTTATGATTTGAACCTGGCTTAAGAGTTGTGGTGATACTTCTTGTCAAAAGATATATTTTGAAGAAAATTAAAAAATATTGTGTTTATCAATATCCATGTTTGAGAACTATATTTTCTCCCAAAAACACTTTTACGTGTTTACGTTAAAACACGTTTACGTGTCACCTCATTTTGCAAAGATGACAAATATATTATCATGATTTGGAAGATACATTAAAGATCTTATACCGCGTATTTTAAAAATAGCATTTCGTTTTATAGGATATAATTTCATTCGCAAATTGGAAAACGGAACTCATTTAAATGTTAAAAATTGCGGTAGCATGCACAATAGAATAATGCTTCGTATGAAACAATAAAATCACAGGTTGAAGTAAACAAAACAGAATTTCAGCTCAAATTCTACCTCATTCATTAAACTTAGAAACCATTAATTACGTCCGGACAGGAAGGATTATTGTATCTTACTCTAAACTTCAAACGAATTCCGTAAATTAATATTATTCATAACACAAGACTATTACTCAAATTTCATTTCAAAGTCTCATTATCCTTTATAGATTCCGATGTTCGTGTCACATGTAATGCACTGATTTGTGAATTATATTATTAAATGACTAACGACACTACTTAGCAATAATATCACAGTGCAGAAACTGTAGTTTAAAATA